CTCTCTCTCTCTCTCTCTCTCTCATACACACTTCTGTAACGCGGCTGCAATTAATGCGATGGAGAGCAGCGAGAGCCGCGCTGCTCAGCCGGGCTCTTTTCCAATGCAAACGCTCCCTCCCCGCCCCGCCACGCCTCGCCCCACCACCACAGCCGCTCTGCACGGGCGTTCCGTACGTCACGATACACTTGGCTGCCACAGCGTTAATTATTTCTTTTCCCCAACGCGTCCTGCGGGACGGATTGTGTTTTTATTTTCACTTTTGCGTCCGTCCGTCCAGTCAGCGCGCGCGCGCGAACGTAAAGCGGTGAAAATTGTAAAATAAAAATGAACACATACAGCGCCGTTATTGTTTTGTTGGCGGTTTGTACTGTTTGCTGTGCGGCCCGCTATGGCCTGAGCGCGGTAAAAACAATGTCTCATATTCCGAGAAAAAGAGGGGAAAACTTTAAGGGACTCCCGCATAATTTGCAGGAAAACTGCTCAGATTTTGATGAATAATTCACCTCAAAATACGAGGAAAATGCCCACATTTTTGCGGAGAAGTTTTGTTTTTCAACTGAAAAAGTTCCTCCTTCCCGAAAAATCAGACATTGCGTCCCAACCATCAGTAAACCGCTGACGCGCTCCCACTTTAAACAAGACCCTGGCGCCCGATCACCTCAGCATAGGCCACCCGCCCAAACAAGGTATCCTGATGTTGCCTACCCGGCAGGCGCCCCAACTAAACTAAGCGCGCCCACACCTCCCAAAACAAAAACTACTTTCAATGTGACAGGGTCCCCAAGCGCGCAGAATTTAGTACAGCCACTGTGGAACGTGTTGTTTACAGTACGTATGTAATTTTTTTGTGGCAAATTTACGATTTGTAGGTCGGTGTCGCAAATCGTCGCGAAGAGAAATACAAATTCTAAACCTACAATTTCAAATCGCAACATTATTAACACTTATTTTATGGAAAGGTTTCGCGTTACACCCAAAACATGTTGGAAACAGTGAAACGCGCATAACGCGCAACATATATATTGTTTGCCACCGTTCTGGTGTTTACTTCCGAGTGCATTGTTGCGGGCCGCGGGGGCGAGCGGCGGGGGCGAGGCGGGGCGGGCCGCAGCAGCCCGACAGACATCAGCAGCAATAACAAGCCCCCCGTCGACGCCACGGCCGCCGCCGCCGCCGCCGCCACCACCATGCTGCAGGAGGCGTGGCACACGCCCGACCTGCGGCCCTACGGCGACCGCGTGCTCGTCGGGCCGTGGCTCGCCTCGCAGCACCTGCAGCGCGCGCGCCACGAGCTCTTCCGCCGCGACTACGAGCAGGGGGTGCTGCCGCTGCAGAACACGCGGCGCATGAAGGCCAACCTGCTGCGGCCGCAGACACTGGCCGCGCCCGACGCGCTGCTGCGGCTGGGCGACGTGGTGCAGGTGGGCGGCGAAACAACTGTTGTGTTTATTACAATTATTTTATTTTACTGTGGTTGTACATCGCACAATGTTCGTGGCGATTAAATATATCAACCCACTATTTTCGAGGGGGAGGGGGGTGCAATTAGATGTTCCTTGGACACACTGAAAAATATTCCAAAAATTAATTCAGAATATTATCCAAAGCATTCGCCCATATTTTTGTTTTGCTAGAACATCTCGCAATTTTTGTTGTGATTATATTAAGAAAAAACGCAAATTTTGCTGTGATTGTATCGCAGAAAAACGTCCAGAGCTCCTTGTTCACTGTTTTTCAAACGAGAAAAAACTCGCCTGTCAGTACAGTTTCATACTTTTCGTGGGGCTGCAGGTGCTGGCCCCGGACATGCCCGCCTTCTCCCTGGCCGGGGGCCGCGGACACCTCGGGGTGTTCCTCGCCGGCACGGTGGACGACGCCGAGGTCGACCGCTGCCAGTTCCTAAGCGAAGGTGCGTAAAAGCGGTAAAAGCGGACCCCACGGCTCGGACACACAGCCTCCTTGACACCGTCGTCGTGACCCAAGCCCCCTGCTCGAGGGGTGTATTTCCGGGTGAGTTGTACTCCTGCTGTACTCCCCGTACGGAAGTACAGAAGTACACTGTACTTCTGGGTTGTCATCCTGGTGAACTCGGCCCGTGTACTTCTGGGTTGTGTACTCCTGGTGTACTTCCCGTGCACTTCCGGGTTATAAACTCCTGGTGTACTCCCCCTCCCCGTGTACTCCCGGATTATAAACTCCTGGTGTACTCCCCGTGTACCTCCGGGTGTATTCCAAGAAGGTGTACTCCCCGTGTACTTCCGGGTGTGCTTCAGACAGGTCTATTCTCCGTGTGTACTTCCGGATGTGCTTCAGGCAGGTGTACTCCCCGGTGTACTCAGTGACCCCTGCCTGCCGCAGGCAGCCGCCTCCACGGCAGCGCGCAGACGGAGCCGTGCGTGCGCAACGCGTGGCGCCTGTGCGCGGAGGACGGCACGGCGCGCCTGGACGGCTGCCCGCTGCGCCTGGGGCAGTGCTTCACGCTGCGCGCCGTCGAGGCGGGCACCCGCTGCCCGCTCTACATCCGCGCCCAGTGCAACACCACCAACGAGGTCGGCTGCGGCCCGCCACGGGTAAGGAAGGAAGGGCCCTAAGGGCCCACCGTCCAAAAATAGACGCACAAGGAAAATTGTACATGAGGAAAAATGTTGAAAAGTGACAGGATTTGAAATGGTAAAATTTACAAAGACCACGTATTGACTCATGGTATTTTTGCCTTTTTGCCTCGTTCAAAAATTACCAGTCGTAAATTTATGATAATGATGTAAATTTTCAAAATCGTTTGGGAAACGTTAATTCCAAAAACGAAAATGTTGGAATATTTTTCACCGATAGGGTGTTAAAAGTAAGAACTGACCCTACAAACATTGAAACAACTTGGATTTATTTAGGAAGTTTAAAACGTCATTAACTTCTATTTCCGTATCAATCTGACGGATAAAAACAAGTCTTTAAAGAAGTACAAGTTCGATGAAACGACTCGTGTACAGTGCAGAGCAGTATTGCCAAGATAAAAGTAAAAATAAAATCCTGAGTCAACTTTTTGTGTGGTGTTGTTGGTAGCTGGAGCTGAGCACGACGTGCGACACGTACTGCCGCTGGCGCGCGCTGCACTGCGACAAGCACAGGCGGCCCGAGACCGAGGGCGGCACCTTCCCGGCCAACATGCGCCTTGTGCTGCAGCATGCCGCCTCCAACCTCAACCTGGCGGCCAGTGCGGGCGGCAAGCGCCACTGGGTCCTCACCTTCTTCGGCAGGGAGTGCAAGATCGGGCTCCGGAACTACACGGACCAGTACGGCCAGGTGAGGCGTCGACGAGGATAGAGGTTTTTATTTTACAAAAAAGCTCTTCGGCAAGAATAACAATTTTTGAATCTCAAATTTTTTCACTGTAAAATTCTTTTTTGTTCAACTTATTCTTTGAAATGTTTTATTTTTGGGGGGCTATTTTTTCAGGAAAGGTTTTCAATTTTGTCGGAAAAATGTCGCACAATCTAGTATCTTGTGATGGGGATCCGGGCGGTCGCGTCGACAGGTGACGTCCGAGAACGTGTGGATGCTGGGCGTACAGCGGCTGCGCGACCGGCGCACCGAGTTGCCCTGCCCGGCGCCTGAGCTGTACCCGCCGCTGCCGCCGCCCGCCGACCCCTGCCCCTGGGCTCCGGACGCCACCTGCCCCCAGGAGCGCGCCTGCCCGCCTCCGCCGCCCGTGCTGCCGCCCCAGTGCCCGCCGCCGCCGCCCCTGCTGCCGCCCCCGTGCCCGCCCCCGCAGCAGCGCAAGAGCGACTGCACCGCCGACATGCCCTGCCAGCGCGACACCAAGGTAACACCCCATGGTACCAATTACATTTGCACCCCATCGTGCCCATGACATTTGAAGGTCACGGTACCAACAATATTTGTATACCCCATGGTACCAATAATATTTTGTACACCACTTAACCAGTTTTGTACCCCATGATTCCATATTGGTACACACGATGGTACCAAATACCTGAACTCCGGGGTACAAAGATCATTTTGCATATGAAATCCAGTAGTTAATCTGAACCTTATGGTAGGCCACACCATAGTCACCCTCCCTTTTCCCTACCCGCCAGTGCGCAGAGGCCCCGCCGGCTCACCCCCTGCCGCCGCAGCGCGCCGACCTGTGGCGCGGGGACAAGCCCTGCCCGCGGGACCCTCCGTGCCCGCAGGACTGCGGCTGCGCGACGCCCAGGGCGGCCGCCTGCCCGCCCAAGAAAAAGTGCCTCCGCTGGAAGGACCTGCACGACAACAGCATGTGGTGCTCCTGGCACAAGCTCACGTGACGAAACCGCAGCAACCCTCTCTCTCTGTTGGGACTGTATCGCCAGACGCGCAGCGAGGTCGAGCAAAACATATGCACGCGCTTGCACTTCCGGATACATTCAAGTCGTGTGTGCGATTCACGGTGTAGAGAGATATCTCTCTACACCGTGGTGCGATTCATTGGTCCTATTCAGATGGGGTCTACCCAACGAAAGAGAAGAGACACACACACACAATCCCACGCCTTCCAAATAATATTCATAGTCGAAGGAAACGCATGGCGATAAGAAAACCTTGACAATGATGGCCAACCTCCTCGGCGTCCAACATTCGCGGCCTCCCCGCTTGGATGTCCTGAAAAATTTCTAGAAAATTTCCGGAAAAATGTGGAAAAATTCCCGGATGCCGAAAATTTCAGTTTGTTTTTTTTTAAATTTTTTGGAAACTTTTCGGAAATATTCTGGAAATTTTCGGAAATTTTCAACTCTATCCACGGTCTAGTGACTCACCTGGCTGAGCGGGCGGATGCGCTCGTGGATGCTGCGCTCGGCGGCCTGCGCGGAGGGCGGCGGGTGGTCGGGTGTGGGCGGCTGCTGGTAGTGCGTGGGGCTGAGCGGCAGCTCCCGCAGCGGCATCCTGGAGATGGCGGGCGCCGGGAGCGCCATGGCGGCCGCGATGGGCGACACGTCGAGCGAGTCGCGGCGCACCGTGACCAGCACCGGGATGGACGTGGGCTCGCAGTTCTCGTAGGAGCGGGCGCCGCCGGGGCCGCGGGGAGAGTCGTGGACGCGGCGGAGCTTCCGCCGCGGGTTGATGGTGCGGATCGTCACCTCCTCGTAGGGCGACGCCTGCTCGGGCGCGCCCGTCGACGGCGTCCCCGGCGCCGAGCTGAAGTCGCCGCCGTCGTCGATGTCGATGTGGCGCAGCTTCATCTCGACGTACTGGTCGGCGCTCTTGCCCCGGCGTAGGCTCGAGACCCCCGTCGGCCTGGTGGAGCTGACGCTGCCCGGCGACCCCGCTGCAACAGGCAAAAGAGTTGGCGTGTGAAGTACAACACGCAAGGAAGGATACGGCACAGTAAACTTACAATAAAAAAGCACAAAACAATACGTGCACCGCCCACCCCCAGGGAAAAAGAACGTCGTAGGCAAGAAAATTATTCTTTAAAAAAGCGAGAGTCAAAAATATTCTTGATCGAAGCAACAATTTTTTTTTATATAAACACGCCGAAGACCGAAGCAAATACAAATTTATTCTGGTCCGTTCTAAAACATATTTTTCTCATTATGGGTATCTGTTTTGACGGAGTATGGCTCAGCAAGCAGAGGTAGACATATAGCGGGTAGGACAAAAGGGTCCATCAGATTGTTTCTCACCCGCTGTTCTCCTCCCTATAAGTTGGCTGAGCTGAAACAACACTGCACCCAGGTTACCGTATGGCTACAAGTTGGCAAACATAGAGAGACTTACCGCCCCCCGTTCTCGCGAGGCACAGGAACTCGTAGGGCGAGTCGGTGCTGAGGTGTGTCGGCGACACGGAGAGGTTCCGTCTGGGTGGCTTCTTGGGCGGCGTGGGCTGGAAACGACACGCAACAGTAAAGGGACGGGCTCATATCACGCGAGAGAGGAGGTGTGTTCAGGACGACGTCGTCGTGGAGCTCACCGAGATCCTGCAGGTGGAGCCCGGACTCCGGCCGCCCATCGGCAGGTAGATGTTCTCGCCCCGTCTGTTGGACGTGGACGAGGCCACGGACGAGAGGCTCATCTCGTCCAGGTCGCGGCCAAAGCTAGACTCGCTGGCGCTGCGGAAAAGAGCGAGAGAGAGAGAGAGAGATAGAGCAATGATGAAAAAGAGCCGCACAATCATCTCGAGAGAGGGCGCCGCAGAAAGCCACACAGAAGCAGCACAATAACATCCTGTGCCTCAAAGCCCTCGCTGCTGCTGCTGCTGCTGCGTTGCGTCAAAGCAGTGGATGCCAGGGGCTGAGCAGCGCACGCTACCCCAGCTACCCTCCAACCCCGCAGCGCCCCGGAGGCAGACGGTATTGACAGCCACTGGAGCGATCAGTGCCTCATACCGGGAACCAGGGGGCGCTTCAGGGGTCGGGCCGGGGCCGCCGGGGCCGCACCGCACTAGCCCACTCACATGGACATGCCGGAGGACTGGTAGTTGTTGGGGGAGCAGCCCCTCGGGGAGCAGCCGCCGTGGTGGCCGCCCAGGATGCCGATGGGGGAGCTGGCCCCGCGCGGGGACGCGTTGTCGTACGGGCTGCGCGGGCTGTGGTGGCCGCCGGGGTCGTCGCCGTCGCTGGCGTCCCCGCACCGCGCCCGGTGCCGCCGGATCAGCGCGTCGATCTCGTGGCTCACGTTGGACGGGAAGTCGCGGAGCAGGTCCGTGACCGTCTTGCGGCTCGAGTCCCGGACGCGCAGGTCGACGCCGGCCTGCAGGAGCGCCCGCGCCACCTCCACCTTGCCGTGCAGCGCCGCCTCGTGCAGCGCCGTGCCCGCGGCCGTGCGCACGTTCACGTCGACGCCCGCGTCCAGCAGCAGGTCGACGACGGCGCGGTGCCCGTTGCGGCTCGCCAGGTGCAGCGGCGTGTTCTGGAAGATGGTCGTCGAGGACCGGTTGCCGTACGGGTGCAGCAGGCCCGGGTGCGTCCGCACCAGCCGCTCCACCGTGTCCAGGCGGCCGTACTGCGCCGCCAGGTCCAGCGCGCTCTCCTCCCGGGCGTTCCGGATGCTGGGGTCGCAGCCGTTGTCCATCAGCAGCGAGACCACGGCGCTGTGGCCGTACTGAGCCGCGCAGTGCAGCGGCGTCTCCTTGGACCGAGTCTAGAAACAGAACAAAACAAAAACATTAACATCAAAATATTCTTCAATTTTGCTTTAAAAGGCGAACGGCCTAGAACTAGAAGTTGTTCAGCCTCCTTTCTGCCCTCCGGTTTGACGCGGTTCGCACAAGTTTTAGACCCTGGCCGACAGCCCGCCTCGGGGCCACTAGGAGAAGGGAATCAGTGTCATCATTCCACCACACACCCAGAAGACCGTTTAGTCCAAAGAACCAAATTCAAAGCCGACGAAATATTAGCTCTAGAGACCAAAATATATTCGTGGCGATGACATAATTTAGTCCAGGTGACTTAATTTGATTGGTGCGAATAAATATAGTTAAAAGGGGGTTACGAAATTTTAGTCCGTTTTCAGAACTAAATTTTGTTTCTTACAACCCTGTTTTAGTTGTCTCAACTAAATGGTTCTCTGGGTAACGCCGCTATACAACACACTCGAAGCGAAGCCGAATGGCACGGAATTATTGCTGGCAGCTGGTGACAGTTGACGGTCAGGCCCGACTGGGTCCGCTTCGGATGCCGCAAAGCGACTGGACTGGACACCCGCCGCCTTTAGTTGACGCCTGAGCGTCTTTTCCACGGTGGACACAATCTTTCCTCAATCGTTAGCTCCCTAAAGTGCCCCCGGAGCGGCACATCGAGCGACCACTATTGGCGACAAAATGCTGTCACTCTAGGCTACGCACAGGAGAACCAAATTTACGTCGCTAGCGGGCGGTTCATAGAAACTTCGGCGACAGGCGACAGATAACGGTCAGGTCCGACTGGGTTCACTCCGGAGGCCGCAGAACGACAGGGGACTCGGGCCCACCGCCATGGAGGCCCTCCTCGTCCTGGCCAGCCTGTGCTGCGCGGTGCGGGCCGGCCTGCCCGTCGTGGACACGGCCGCGCCCCCCGAGGCCAGGAGCGCCGCGGCGCTGCTCACGCCGTTCATGCTGCCCCAGAATGCCACCCTCGTGGTGCTGGGACGGGTGGGCTGGACCGGCGCCTTCCTGGAGGAGCTGTCTGCCGACGTCCCCCGGGTGCTGACCCCGAGTGTCATGGAAATAAAGCGTGTCGACGTTCGCGAAAGCCATCCGCGGCTCGCCCACGCCCTCGTGTCCACCCGCTGCGCTTTTCTCCTTCCCGTCGACGGCTTAGACGATCTCCTCCTCGCCCTGAGCTCCTTCGACCCCTTCGCCTTCCCCACCAGGGTCCTGTTTTGGGCCACGGTGGCCGCTCCACGAGACGCGGTGCTGCGCCGCCTCGCCCGGGCCCGCGCCAGCATGTGGCTGAGTAGGTACGACTACGCCGTGGCGCTCACCGCCCCCAACGGTAGCACCACCCTCTATCGCCTGGCCTACGCCAACCTGGCCGCGGCCCACAGGGACGGCACCAAGATCGTCACCGAGACCAACTCGTGGTTGCCCGCGACGGGGCGCTGGCGCCGAGGGTCTATCGTCTTCGGTGAGTTTTGTGATTGGCGTCCGGGCAAAAGTCAGGAGCTCATTGCGTTCGTAGTCGTGATCTCAAAGAGAGGCCTGACGCCCTCGTCACCGCTCTCGGAGCTCTCCAAGATCGTCAAGCAGGTGGCGGCAGGTCATCGAGGCAGAACAACCGTCAGGTACGAACAAACAGCCGAGTACGGTAGAGTGCATGACGCTCTCAAGGCGTGCACTCTGGCAGCGGTCCTCGCAGACAGGCCACTCTATTCCGAGTCCACGTCGGTTGAGCTGACCCTTGTGCCTGGGATGGAGATGGCTCACGTCGCCGTCATCGTCCCGGCTGGCCTCGGTGCCAGAATTAGCCCCCTCGACGCGGTCACCGTCGAGTTCTCCGCTATGCTGTGGTGCGCCACGGGGATGGCAGCCTTGTGCACGGTGCTGTTCTTGAGGTGCACCAGGAGACAGGACGTCAGCGGTGCGGTGCTGCAGGCGCTGGCCCCGATGCTCGGCCAGCCACCCCCACCGCCCGCCCCCCCAAAGCCCATGCTGGCCGCCTGGCTGCTCGCCTGCGTCGTGCTGACCGCCGCCTACCAGGGCCTGCTGCTGGGCAAGCTGTCTTCGGCCGTCCCCCGGCACGAGCTAGAGAGCCTCCAAGACCTCGAAGACAGCGGGCTGCCGCTGAAAGTGCTAAAAAATCTAGCACACAGCAGGGTGCTGACCAACAACCAGACTTGCCAGGCTGAGTACGTGGTGTACGCAGAGGTCGACGAGACCATTGACACGATCGCCAGCGCTCGCAACTGCGCCCTCGTCACCTACCTGGACGAGGACGCCGTCAACTCCTTGCGGCCCTTTATATTGCCGCCCAATAAGAAGCTGCACGTCATCCAACTGCCTTACTCGGAGCACAATGTCATCGGCATGGTGACGAAGGGGTCCCCGCTGGGGCACGCCCTCGTCAGGACGCTGGGGCTCTTGGAGGCGGGGGGGCTGCCAGCGCGCTGGCGCGCCGAGGAGTACGGGCGGGTGCGCCAGGAGCGCGCCCGGAGGCTGGTGATGCTGCAGGAGCCGCGGGTCCTGACGCTGTGGCACCTGCACCCGGCCTTCGTCGTGCTGGGCGTGGGACACGCCGCCGCCGTGGCCGCCTTCGCCCTCGAGGCGCTGTGTGCCTGGCGCCGTGCGCGCCGGCCCTCGCGGGCCGCGGTTCGACGAGTGCAGTCGCACGACGAGACGTCCTGACGAGACGTTGTGTGAGACTGCTGGAAAGCTGTCGAGGTTCCTAGGGATCCTGGGGTTCTGACTCGCACGCGGGTTTGCTTCTTAATCTCCCGCACTAGTTTTTGCACGTGTCGCTGCTCTCCACACGCCAAACCCTTACGCATTTCGCTGTGCATTAACATGCAGAATTTTACGCATAACCACAAGTTTGCAAACAATTTTTGGCTGAGCGATTAGCATTACTATTACTCCGTCTGGTTGGAAAAAACTGTTTCTGTCTGTCTGTCTGTCTGTCTGTCTGTCTGTCTGTCTGTGTGTCTGTGTGTCTGTGTATCTGTCCGCACGTAAACTCGAAAACGAATTGAGCGAGCCACCTGGGATTTTCAGGGTCGTTTTGTGTCATAAAAAGACAGATCGAGTTCAAAGATGAGCATTCTAGCTCAAAAATTGGATTTTGAAAAAATCAAAAATAACACGTCCCAAAAATGACGTTCTTTAAAAATATTTTTTTTATGGTTTACTATGGGGTAACTCATCAAAGTAGAGCCCTTAGGGCGAAAATTTTGTCCGTTTTGCTCTAGCTCAAACCGTTGAGGCCCTAGTGGGTATTTTTGACGAAAATAAGCGAAAAATGTACAACCTCGAATGCTTAGTCGAGATGACGGGCCGTTGACGGGCCGTAGGCCCGTATCTTTGTGTACATTTTCCAACTATCCGACTCGGGTGCTAGCGCCGCAGGCCAAGGCAGGCGCGTCGCAGCGTAACAGTGTTTCGTGAGATATCGCGAAGCCTGTTACGCGAGACGTGATCTGGCGTACATCTACCTTGTAAACCATGATTCTGCACATATTGTAAATAAGACACAACTCTGAACGAATTGCACGTAGTTGTGAATGAAGTCGTTCACAATAAAATGCGGACAAGGTTTTTAGTGTGTATGCAATGTTTCTGAAATGCACGTGTGTATAATTGTGTGTAGTTTTACGGTTTTTAATAATTCTCTCTGCAAACGCCCAGGCGCCTAAGGGGAAATAAATAACTCCTGAATTGGGTGTAGTAATTACGTGCACTGAATTTGAATTTGCTTGAATGAATGCATTGATTTTTGAATGGTTTGAATTATTGCGATTTTATTATGTTGTATTAGCGTGAATTGACTTGAATTGGGTTGAATTGACTTTGAATTGAATGTTAAGTGGGTTGAACGCGACTGAATTGATTTCATTGTAGTTGAATTTGTTTAAAATTATTTCTCAGTACCGTTGAATTAAATTGAATCAGTTTGAGCTTTGGCAGAATTGGGGGTGTACATTTAGTAGGTAAGTTATTTCCCCATAGCTCCTGTCCGTTTGCGTCCCAAATTGAAACCAGGTTGGCGCAACACACCCTAGGGGGGAGGCCGCGGTCGATGCGCGAGCTTCGGAAGTATACTTAATTCTCTCTCCATACCCGCTGAGCACATCCGGGGGATTTTACGGACCTCCCAGCGCGCCGGCAGCGTAGGCAACATCCCTGGGCGTCACACAGCTGCGTGTGGCGGGATTGCCTACCTCCAAGGGGCTAAGCCCTCGGCTAAGCCTACAGCTCCCCGAAGAGCGCCCCGAAGGTCCGAAGGTCCGAAGGCCCGAAGGTCCGACAGCCTAAAGGTCCAATGGTCCAATGGTCCAAAGGTAAAATATAACATCTGGGAATTCAAGTAGATTCCTTGAAAACTGTCTTAAAAACCAAGTACAGCGCAGGATGTCATTTTTTACCGTGAATCCCGAAGGTCCGAAGGCCGAAGACCCAAAGGTCCGAAGGCCCGAAGGCCCGAAGGTCCGAAGGCCCGAAGGTCCGAAGGCCCGAAGGCCCGAAGGTTCGAAGGCCCGAAGGCTCGAAGGCTCGAATGCCCGAAGGCCCGAAGGCTCGAAGGCCCGAAGGCTCGAAGGCCCGAAGGCCCGAAGGCTCGAAGGCTCGAAGGCCCGAAGGCTCGAAGGCCCGAAGGCTCGAAGGCCCGAAGGCTCGAAGGCCCGAAGGCCCGAATGCCCGAAGGCTCGAAGGCCCGAAGGCTCGAAGGCTCGAAGGCCCGAAGGCCCGTAGGCTCGAAGGATCGCACGCGCGTGTGACACAGTGTTTTGTCCCGCCGTGCTATCCACCCCGCCGCGTCTCGCTCGCCTCACGCTCCTGCGAGCGGAATAACGGAGGCGCGGCGCGCACACACGTTACAGACACATCGCAGCCACTCATTAGCGACACGTCTGGCTGATGCGACGGCCGACTGACGCTCGGGGGAGGAATAGCGAGCAATCGGAGCCCCCGCAGCAGCGATCCGCGCTTGGCGCGAAAATCAAACATCAAAAAGGGTGATACCGCGAAACGAGAGGCGACGTTTGTTTCGCGCCTCCTCGCAAAGTTTCCTCGTTCGGCGAACTGATGAAGGTTTGTTCGTGCTGCGAAAGGATTTGGCAGCTTTTGTATAATTCCACGAAAGAAATATGTCTTCGCATTACAAAACAAAAAGGAAATCCTCCACCCCTGGTTCGCAATTACAAAGCAGTTCCAATCGTTTGCAAGGATTCTACAGGGCGGTGTTTGGCTGGTCGGGTGGTCGGGGGGAGGCTGGTGGGTGGGCCGACGGTCATGCTGCGGCCGACCTCAAAGCCACGGAATGCACTGCTGGGCGGCCAGGGCCACCGCGGGCCGCGGTGCACGGGGGGTGGATGGGAGTGTGCCCACACTCCTGGTAATTCCTTATCACACGAAGGATTCGGCACACTGGTAAAACAAGTGTTTAATTTTGCACGTCAATTGACGTTTAAGTTCAAGTGTGCATTTTCTCGACACTTTGTGGTGTCTAACTATGTTATACGTCAATTGGTGTTTAAACTTTCGACACTTCCGAAACGTATAGCAGCTGCACACCGTATGGTTCCCTATTGACAGCATAGAACTGTGTGTGTCCAAGTGTGCAGAATTTAAACGTTTACAAAACGTCGAAAATTTGCACACCACGCAAGTGTGCAACTTGACTTAAACACCATGTGATGTGCAAAATCACAACTTGCGCACGTTTGGTGTGCAAATATTGCACACTTGTTTTACCAGTGCATCTTTTAAAACCCAAGATAAGAGATTTCTGCGCAGCTGCCAAAGGACTTTCTCCACATTCCAAAGAAAATCGTTCGCAAGGGAACATCAGCAGTAGTCGGTCTCGGTGACCGACGGTGGTACTCACGAGCAGGTTGACGTTGGGCACGGACGGCCCGTGGGTGAGCAGCAGGCTGACGACCTCCTCGTTGCCAGTCCAGGCCGCCAGGTGCAGCGGCGAGGACCCCTTGTCGTCCACCACGTTGCAGGACGCCTCGTGCGTGAGCAGCATCTCCACCACGTCCCTGCGACACAAGGTCAAAGGTCACAGCCGAGGGGGGACTTAACAGGGCAATTACAGTGAGGGTGTCCATAAGTAGGCGAATGAGTGAGGGGTGCTACAGCTATAGCTACGATCTGGAATTGCCTTGCCTCATATCCTTTCATCACGTGTGTGACGATTGTCAAACTTCACTTTTCGATCCGCTCACGTTTATAATCACTGATTTTTCTCCCCCACACCGTTGTTTGTGTTTTGTTTTTTTTCGATCCATGTCCAGTACACGGAAAAAGCCATGAGCTTTTCGAACACCTCTGGTCGTTTGGCCAATTAGAACGGATCATTATGATTTTTTATAAAAAAAATTCAATGGACGACGTTATTGTGTTTGTTTTGGGGTGTGAGTGTCATTAGTGACCGAGAGAGAAAGAGAGGTCTAAATTAGAAAGGGGGGCAACCGGGGGCAACGGAGCCGACGAGATACACCGAAACGAGTAGGACGATGATACAGTCGCCAGCAATGCGGCAATGCCAGCGGAGGAGGACTGGGGAAACGTTTATGGTTTATTACTTTGCAAAGAGTATGTTTATATTTTATTCAATACTTGATAAAAAAAACAAATTCCTTTTTGGGCGTGTGTGAAGGGTTGGAAGCCCTGTACAGTTTACGCAAATTATCAGGAAAATTTCAGGAAAAAACGGAAAATTTCCGAGGAAAAATGGAAAATATTTACCGACTTTGGAAGTTTTTCGTTATTTTCCGGAAATTTTCGGGAATTTTCTGAAAATTTTGCACTACTCACTTGTGTCCGTTGAGCGCGGCATGGTGGAGGGCGGTGTATCCGCAGCTGTCCTGGACGTTAGCACCGGGGCCGCGGCGGAGGCTGCAACAGAACAAGAGCGCAGCCGGGTGAGATCAAGACGACAACGAGTTCGTGCAACTGCTAATCACTCCAGAGTCTGATGATGACTAAATATAAAGGGACGATTTCGCTCCTAAAACAGGAACGTTTCCGTGCACATCTAGACTGAATGCGGAGTATGTGCAACTTGCACGGTACAGGGGCACAGCTAAAACCTTACGAGGCAAAATGCCAAAATGCCAAATCCTTCGTACCTGCGAAGGATTTGCTACCTACGAAGCTTCCAAATCCTTCGTACCTATTTTTCTTCGTAAGGTTTTAACAGTGGGAAACGTTTAGTAAATACTGGGAAGAGGTTAATACACCGAAGAGTTTATTAATAGGTTGCAACAGCACGTAGCAATAGTATAGTTATACTTGGTAAATTTTCTAGTAAAGAGGTGGAGGCAAGGGCAGACGGTAAGAGAGGACTCGCAACAGGTGATTTAAGGACGCGCCCCATGACCATACGACAGGGCCTCGCGGGCCCCCCTTCAACGAGTGCGTTATGATGCGTCCATACTCAGTGGGTGGCTGGGCGAGGAGAATGCCAGACCAGCATATGGCTCTCAGCCACGCCCCGCCCCGCCCTCGGTCAAGCCGGCCTGCTAGCCGGCCGATATGAACTCCCATGTCCGCCCCGCCACGCCCGCCCGGTGAGCGCTGTCCGAGGGGCCGCCTTGCTCCTTCCCGACCCTCTTCCCGTGAACAACGCCGTGCACTGGAAACAGGAGTGTGTGAATGTCGCACACTTCTCGTAGGTGTGTGCGAATGCCCATTCGTACACTTAATGGTGCAAAGGTATGTATCTCCGGTACAACCACACGAGGGTCATAGTCACGTTGTAGCTGGTCACAAT